CACCAGGGCACCCACAAGCACCCCGATGCCCACAGCACACGTACCCCACTCACAAGGTTGACCCAATTTCAGACTTCAGTTTTAATGGTTAAAGCTGCCTGTGGGAGCAGGATGGAGCACTCTCTCACTCCGCCCTCACTTTGCTCCACCTCTCCCTCTTCTTCCACTCCACTCCCGCCTCCCACGCTCTCATGCCCTCCCCGCTCCTGCTCCTCCTCCAGGTACAGAACTGGCTCAGGGCTGGCATTCTGCCAGGAGAAAGTGGGCCTCCTTCCACCAGGCCTAGTTCAGTTCGTTTAACTCCAGAGGGCTGGAAGCAGTGAGGCTCTCGGAAGGACCGGGCTCCTGAGCGGCGGGGCCGCCCCTCACGGTCTGGCCCAGGCTGCCCCCGCGGCGGGTGCTGGACGCCTCGGAGCCCGTGCCCTCCAGCAGCTTGGCGACGAAGCCCACGCCCGCCGAGCGTAGCAGGCCGCCGCCGGCGCACGCGTACAGCACGGGGTTCACGCTGCTGCTCAGGAAGGCGAGCGCGATGAGTACGCTGCGGGCCAGTTTCAGCCGCTGCCCCACGAGCCCCGACCCGGAGGCCTGGCCGGCCAGCGCACGGGCAGCCTCGGCCAGGTTCACCACGTGGTAGGGCAGCCAGAAGGCGGCGAAGGCCAGGATGATGAGCACCACCAGGCGACCAGTGCGGCGGCTGCGGCGGAAGCGCCGGGCCTGCAGCCGACGCCCTATGTCGGAGTAGCTGGCCACCACAGCCAGGAAGGGCAGCAGGAAGCCCGTGAGGGCCTCGAAGATTAGATGGAAGGCCTCGTGCTCCTTGCTGGGGTACTTCGGATAGCACAGGCTCATGTTCGTTTTCAAGGCCACTACTGTGCGGTACACGAGGACGGGTGTGGCCAGCAGAAAGGACACCACCCAGATGCCTGCCAGCACCCGCAGGGCCATTGCCTTGGTGCGTAGCTTCTGGGATACAAAGGGGCGGGCCACTGCCAGTGAGCGGTCTAGACTCATGGCTGTGATAAGCAGGACACTGGCGTACATGCTGACTCCACAGACATAGTGGCACAGGCGACAACCAGCCAATCCAAAACTCCAGGTGCCTTGGGCCAGGAAGTGAAGGAAAAAGGGAGCAGTGAGCAATACGGCCAGGTCGGCCAGGGCCAGGTTCAGCACCAACAGGGCAGTGACAGAGCGCTTCTTCATCCTTTTCAAGATGCTCCACACCACAAAGCTGTTGCCGGGAAGCCCCACAGCCAGCGCCACTGACAGCAGGATGATAGCCAACAGAACGATGAACCCTACACCTAGTGAGGGGGATGCTGCAGGAGATGTAGTGTTCATGGCCGTCAGGAGGACCTGGAGAGTGAGGGCGGACAAACGCATGAGAGTAGAGGACCAAGGGTTACCTGACACCATAGACACGCCTAGACTGAGAACTCTAGTCTGTCTCCAGGGTCAGCAGCACCAGAGGTCCCCCTGAAATATACTGCCCCCATCGCTGCAGACTGACATCTTAAAGGGATCTGGTTGAGTACAAAGACTAGTTTCCTAACTGGGTCATGAGGCCCCTTCCTGCCCACAGACCCAATTGCAAAATATACAGTGACCGCAGCAGCAGCAGCAGCAGCAGCAGCATTTTCAGACCTTTTCAGTCTCCTCCCCTTAAGAGACCCTAAAGCCCAGAACCAACCTGAGAGTTCCTACCAATGCTGCACCCCTTGAAAGGCCAGCTTTCTTGCCCCCTGCCAGGCCCTCATCCCCTCAATCCCATTAACTTTCCCAATCACCTGCCTACTGTCCCCAGAGATGCCCAGGGTCAACCAGGAATAACAGGGAGGGGAAGAGTTAGTGGACAAGTGACAAGGACAAAGCCTCCCAACTTTTACACTGGTCAGGCTTTCTTTGGAGATTCCTTTGCACCTTCTTTCATGGCTGCACACCGTCCCACCACCACCACAACCACTGCCGTTCCCAGGATACTTACTTACAAGCTTTGACGGGAACTGGTTGGAAGCTGATGCCAATCCCAGGGTCAGGGCAAGGTGCCGTAGCCTATCCCTGGATCTGTCCCACTGCCAAGGGCCTGGCCCCCGGTCTAGGTGCTGTTTGCTAAGTCAGCCAGAGAGGAAGTACCATAGAGCAGAGGACAGGGAAGACGCATCTTCCTGAGGGTGGGGCTGAAACCCCTACCCACTCCCTTCACTAGGAGGGGGGATAGTCTGTGTTCCAGGGCAACCCAGAAGGGTTTCTCTGAGGACTCCTCAGAGGTGGAGCCAGATGAGAAGAGACCAGGAAGGAGCAGTGAGAGGAAAGAGGGGTGTGGGGAGTGAGTAGGCTGGGTGTGGTCTCAAGATGCAGGTCTAGACTGGAGAATTAAATAAAGTAGTGAATGGTATCATATAGGAGAAGGAGGTATGGTAGCTAGAGAAGGGGAATGGGCTCAGATTGAGAGGCTACAGTGCTGATATCTTTGTTTGTTTGTTTTGCAGTAATAATGTAGATTTTTTTTTTTTTTTTAATTAATAGGAAGTGTAGGTTGGAGCTGTGACTAGGTCCTGGGTCTGGGTTTGGGTTAGATAACATGATTTAAAGAGGGCATGTCAGTAAATTGCCGAAGGGGGCAGTACTCTGTTCTTGGTTTCAGTTCAAGCTATGATCTAGGTTGTGTGGCCATCTTCCAGCACCCCCTTTCCTCGCCTTACTTAAAGGGATTGGTTCCATTTAGGTCAACCAATTCTCCATTCTCTTTGGTAGAAGCCAAAATCCAAATGGTCTCCTTGGTATCACACAGAATGCCAATTACTTCCCCTTTCCCCAAACCCCTGCCTTGTGCTTGCCCATGTGATTACCTTGCTGAGTCTGGATTTAAGATCTGGGCAAGGGGATTGGCACCATCTCTTTCCTATCTTCCCACAGCCTTCTATCCAGTTCCACTTTAGACACACAGAGAAAGTTGAGGCCGAGCTAGGCAGGCTGAGCATGAGGAGCAGGAGTGGGAGAGCAGGAACAGTGATGCCTCATGACTACCCTGCCAAGATGGGAAACCAGGAATGCAAAAATGGTCACCTTCCCCATTTCCTGCACAGAGGAACATCTCCTTTCCTTGAAGTCTCCTGCAAAAGCTAAGAACTAAAAATTCCTGGTGGGTTGTGGTGGTTCATACTGGTAATCCCAGCACTTTGGGAGGCTGAGGGGAGTGGATCGCTTGATGTCAGTAGTTTGAGACCAGCCTGGCCAACATGGTGAAACCCCGTCTCTACTAAAAATACAAAAGTTAGCTGGGTGTAGTGGTATGTGCCTGTAGTCTCAGCTACTTGGGAGGCTGAGGCAGGAGAATCACATGAACCCAGGTAGTGCAGGCTGCAGTGAGCCGAGATCGTACCACTGCACTCCAGCCTGAGTGACACAGTGAGACTCCATCTCAAAAAAAAAAAAAAAGAAAAAGAAAAGAAGAAACTAAAAATTTCTTCCTTCAATCTGACCATGGGCCTTCCTGCTTCCCTTTCAACTCTCACTTCTCAGGAAAGATGCAAAGTGTAATGGTGGTCACTGAGATCCCTTAACCTTTCCAGAGCCCCCACTTGCTCTGCCTGGAGAAAAGCCAGAGCAGAGTTGACCTCGTAGCTGTCAGGCAGAGGATATGATGAAAAGCAATGGGCAGAAACCGAAGCAAGAACTGAAGTCTGAGTTAAGGAAGGGCTTTCTGACCGCACTGGGTGTCAGAGATGGGGAATATGCAACAAGGGAATTTAGGGAACCTCTGCCCAGGACACAAGGACAGAAAGAATCCCATGAGGCCTGTGTTTGGGGACAGAAGCTCCAGGGTCAACCAGAGGTCCCCTGAGAGAGAAACTGGGTTGTCCTTGCCACCCCTCCCAAGTTGTTCCCCACCCACATCTACCTTGATGGCCTTTCTTCCCCAAACCCAGGACCAGGCACTCTAAGCATACTCCCTGCTGTTCTAGTTCACAGATGCTAGTTAATCCCAGTTTTGGTAGCCCCAGCATGACCCTGGGGACTGGGTTTCTTTTGCTCTGTTTCGACTTCTGTTTGGGAGGCAGGGAGGTATGAGCAGTCACTAAAGTAGAGCCTGGGGTGATGGTCAGGGTAGCCACTTGAGTGGCCAACCATTTCAGTTTGTTGGGAAACCAACAGGGCTGGGACAAGGGATTTTCAGTGCTAAAACTGGGAAAGTCCTGGGCCAACTGGGATGAGCTGGTCACCTTAGTGACCACAAGTGTGTACTTGTGGATGTCCCCTGAAAAGAATCCCATTCTACATCCCCCAATCAAAGGTGTCAGAATCTAGAACCGTTTTTAGACCTAGATATGGATTCCAAAAGGTGGGGGCAGATAAGTATTGGGGAAGGGGCCAGGAATAGCTAGCAGCATCTTGGAAGGAGCCCAGACTTGGCAAAGAGAAAAAGAATAGGTGGCACTTTTCTGAAAAATTATTCCTGTCCTCTAAATATTCCTGCCATTCCTCATACCCCCTGATGACCAACCTCCAAACTTCCCAGACTGAGTGCCTGCTCCTGGGCTCCTTTTCACGTCAGGTGGCCTTTGCAGGGAGGAACAGATGGTCAGGGAGGAAGGTAAGTCTCAGACTCCCAGGGCCCCTACACCACTGTCCACTCCTTGTGTGCCTCTCTCACACCCACTGGACCAAACACAAGACAGGCAGGAAAACTTTCCTTTCAAACCCCAGATTCAGTTTCCCCTTCAGAGCCATTTCCTCCCCCAGAGGCTTTTATAAGCCTCAGAGAATGGATCCCATTCCTACCCCTCATCCAAGCTCCCATACTTCTCCTTCCATTTTCTCCTTTATTTCCAGAGTGGTTCTATGGATTGGCCTGTGGAACCAGGGCACCTGGACTGAGGAGAGCAGGTCAAGATGCCACTGAAGGCCGGCACTGCCCAGCCCTGGCTTGACCCAGAAGGGAACTAGGTGGCTTCAGTACAACTCAGGCATGAAGAACCACCAGGGGAGGCACACATAAGTCATCATCTAATGGCTTCCCAGTGTATTTCACAATAACAGCTATTGGCAACAAGTAAGCAGTGCTGGCACATGGGTACATGCCAACTTGCAAGCATGCAATAGTCCTTAACAGGGACCATCACCACCCTCATAATCCCTCAGTATGGAGAAGCCTGGGCCTGCCTGAGGTGTATAGTAATCCTACCCAGTCAGATCCAAACTCTAATCAAAGAAGGGTCCCCAAATGTTCCAGAACACTGAGCTCCAGAGGGTGAGAGGATGGAAAGGGAGAGGGAAGGGCAGCAGGGTCAAAGGTCCCATTCCGGACCGTCCTTCTCCATCCCACCCCCCGGGTCTCCATTGCCGCGGCCCTCCCCCACCACTTTCAGCTGAGGGGTAGTTCGGAGCTCCATGGTCCCCTCCCTAGAGCGGCCGCCCCCTCGGGCCTCCCCGGAGCCTTCGAAGAGCCGCGTTAGGAAACGGGGACCTGCCCGGGGCAGCAGATCTCCAGCGGTGAAGACGTACAGCACCGGGTTGACGCTAGAACTGAAGAAGGCCAAAGCCGTAGTTCCTGCTCGCGCCGCCTGGCCAGCCCCACCCAGCTTCGCCAAGGTCCCTTCAGGTGGAGCCAGCGCGGCGACTGCCTGCAGAAGGTTGACCGCGTGGTAGGGAGCCCAGAGCAAGCCGAAGGCAAGCACGATGGCGCTCACCAGCCGGCCCACCCGTGCCCCATGCCGCCCGGAGCCCCAGCGGGCGCCCCGCAGCCGCGCCAGCGTCACGCTGTAGCAGCCAAGCATCAGCCCGAAAGGAAGCACGAAGGCGGTCAGAGTCTCCAGGGTCAGGTGGGCGGCGGCGTGGGCCGGCGACGGGTGGCACAGCTGGCATACGCGGTCCCTCCACAGGTGGCGGTAGATGGCGGCCGGAACGGCGAGCAAGAGGGCGGCCAGCCAGACGGCCAGCAGCAGGCGGCGGGCCAGGGCCGGGCTGCGCAGCCTGGGCGCCAGGAAGGGGCGGGTAACCGCGAGGCAGCGCTGCAGGCTGAGCAGGCCGGTGAGCAGCACGCTGGCGTACATGCTGAGCGCGCACACGTAGTACACCGCCTTGCAGCCCGCCTGGCCCAGCGGCCAGGCTTGCCCGGTCAGGAAGGCCACAAAGAGCGGCGTGAGCAGCAGCACCGCGCCGTCGGCCAGCGCCAGATGCAGCACAAGGGTGGCTGCCAGCGGTCGCCCCCGTGCAGGCCGCCAGCCCGCCAAGCTCCACACCACGAAGCCGTTGCCGGGCAGCCCCAGCAGTGCCGCCAGGAGCAGGAAGGCCGTGCCTGTGGCCCGCGAAGTCTTCCAGCTCAGCAGTGTCTCGTTCCCTGGGGGACGGTAGCAGACCGACATCCTTCTGGGCCTACAGGTGGGTGGAAGGCGCCACAGAGAGTGTTCAGGGGTGGGGCAAAACCCCACCTGTGATGTCCGAAGAGAAGGGGCCATGCCTCCTCCTTACTTGCCTGCAGCCTGCCTCTTTTCTGCCTGGGAGTCCTGACTTCCACGAGAACCCAGATCCCACCTCAAACACTACTCCTTCTTGGAACCCAGATCCCCTGCTCCCACTCAGCTGACCTGCCCCACTCCTGGCTCCTTCCCAGAGCTCAGTGGTAAACAGGCATAAAGTCCTCACCCCAGGCTGTCACTATCTCTACCACCACTCCTCTAGTCTGGCCCCTCCTTCTTTGTCCAGCCCCATTCTAGCACATCTGGGCAAAAGTGGATGGTGGGGTATAAAGGGATGTGCGCAGATCTACTTACCAAGGTGGGAGCGAGCACGACTGGGGGCCTGGAGAAGCTGAAAGGTTAAGCAGCAGTGGGCGAGGTGCCTACTCCTGTCCTGTGCCTATCACATTTGCAGCGGGTAAGGCAAGAATGGGGAGGGACAAGATGAGGCTCATCCTGGGCCTCTCCTGGGGCCCCTCCCTCACCCTACTCCTTCCCATCACCAACGTATCCAAGTGTCCAGGCATGTGAGAGCCTGCCTTGCCAGGAAACAGCAGAAGCTGAAGTGGGGCAGTAAGATTCCCTGGCCGTGGAAGGAAATAGGAGGACTCTGCTGAATCCTAACCCTGGTCCTGCTTCTGTTCTCATCCCTCCCCCAGCTCTGGCCCCAATCCTCCCAGCCCACCTTCTGCAGCATGTATGTTGCTTGGCCTCTCTGGTCTGCAGAGAAGGTGACCCAAACAACTCAGTCCCCCATCTGCTCTATCTTTGCCTGTTTTCCAGTCTCCTGGTCTGGCTGAGCCCCTTTTCTTCAGCTTCTGGCCTACCTCCTCCCATCTCTTGCCTAGGGCCCTGCCCCAGTCACTCCACCCTCAGGGCTCTCACCGGGCTGTCAGTGACAGCCTTTCCATGTAAGGCATGCTGCCAGGTTCCAGGAGGAACAGGAGATGCATGGAGGCATAATGGTTAGGGAGTCATGACACACAACCATGAAGAGATCCCATTTCCAGGCTGTACAAGGATACAAGACAAGAAAGGAAAGGATGCAGTAGGGACATACTAAGCAGCAGCCCTCTCTTCTTGGAAAAGTCAAGCAAAACTTGGAAATGAAGAGATTTGACGGGGGCCTGGCAGATGGATAGAACTGGGGGAAGGGAAAAGAAAGGCCTCAGCCCAAGTAACAGCCAGAACTTGAGGTTCCTTGCGCAGGGCACCAGGAGCACTGTCTTAGGTTGGGGCCTCCCAAAGCAGAGCCTGAGCTAAGGGCTTGGGTACCAGTAATCCTGTATTTGGGAGGTTAACTCAGGAAGTGAGGGCATAGGGTAAAACAAGAGGGGAAAGCCATTAAGAGTGTTAAGTCCCTTCAGTAGGCCTTGGAATCTCTGAGAAAAGTACAGATTGCCCAAGACAAAAGACTGGCAGGGTGATCAGTCCAAAGCATTTATTAGGAAAATGTACTTAATGAGTGGGCTACAGCATATCTTTACAACAGACAGTGAGAGAGAGTTGTTCTATCTCGATATGTCCAAAACAAAGGGGTCAGGGTATGGAGTTTATGAGGGTTCAAGATATTTGGTTCAGGGCCAGGGCCAGTTTTTTTGTGTTTTGAGCAACAACCTGAATACCTTTTCAAGGCTCTGGCTTGGGCTCAAGCCTCCAGGGGAAATGCAGCTGGCCAGGTCACAGGGCAATCAAGTTACTCTGTGTTTCCTTGTCAGGACACAGAAAAAAAGTGGGGAAGCTGGGGGACCCTATAAGGATCCTGGGCAGGAAAGCAGGGATTGTGTTCATTTGAGGGTTTCACTGTCAGTGAGAGTCTCAGCTTCCATGCAACTGTCCATCACGGCTGCAACTGAAATCAGAGCTGGGACACAGTGCACCAGAAGCTAAATTCTTGATGCCATCAAAGGACATTCCTGCCCCATTCACATCTCCTTCACGTCCATTAGTTGGCAAAAGCAGAAAGGTGAGAGAGAAGATGACCTAAGTGTGACCGAACTCCACAGGCAGTTCTGGAAACCGAAGTCAGAGCAATGAACCAGCCCCTCCTTTGACCAAGGAGGAAGGAGCAGGTAAGCAGGAAAACCGGGGTCCCAGACAGGACCCTAATGATTCTGAATCCATGGATTAGGATCCATCCTCTCCTTACACCCTTCCTGGACACAGTCTCACCTCTCATTTTCCAAAGCCCTGCCATGCTGCCATCCAGCTTCCCCACACTCCACCCCGGGATCCCTTTTCCTAAAGCTGCAGCTTATGGCTACTCCAGTAGGTGGCAGCACACACAGAGCCACTCACATAAAATGCAGCTTCTCAGAGTCTGAGAGCCAGAAACCATCCCCAGAAATTCTCTCATAGAAATAAAAAAACACCAGAGGTCACGTTTCATCCTTTTACATGGTTCCCATCTACTCTCACAACACATGTCATCACCAAAGGCACACATACAAGCTCCAATGGCTTTTGCCAGGCAATTCTTCCTCCAGGACCCCATCTGGCCCCTCCCTCATCCCTCCCCTTGGACTTTGCCCTTCTTACTGGTCAGGCAGGGGGGCCAGAGTCCAGGCTTGACTCATTCCCACGTTGCCCTGGGCTGAGATCCCAGGTTTGTAACAGAAAACACCACTAAAGCCCCAGCACAGGAGAGAACCACCCAGCCCAGAAGTTCCAGGGAAGGAACTCTCCCATCCACCATGGAGTACCTCTCAGCTCTGAACCCCAGTGACCTACTCAGGTGACTGCTAACCCTCCGCTCTACCCTCTACCTTTAGGGGATATAAGCAGGGCAACAATACTCCACTCAGCCCCTAGGACACTAACCAGTACCCCTTCCTCTTCTGCTCCCCACTCCATAGTGGGCTTGTCAAGCTCTTGACCCACCCGCCCCCACCTGTACTCCATGGTCTCTCCCTCATCCCTACCATCTATAAACCTAGATCTCTCCCTCCCTAGCCCTCTAGCCACTCTACCCCCATCACGCCCTTTACACTCACTAAGCCCCTTCTTGCCCCTTCTTGACTTTTCTTCTCAACTACCAGGTCAGTATCTAATATAAGCTCGGAGTTTGGACGGAGGGTCTGGACCTCAGCTTCACCAACCCAGCGACCTTTCCGTGTCTGTAATCACAAGCGGACCATCCGGAAAGGCCTGACAGCTGCCACCCGCCAGGAGCTGCTAGCCAAAGTAAGTAGGCCAAGTTCCTTGGTTCCTTTAGCAGGGGTAGCCAAGGGGCTCCACAACATTGGCAACTTGTGATGATGGAGCAGAGAGGGCTGAAGTCACACAGCTGCCTCCTCCCACTGAGAGCTCAGTGGGGTGGGCCTCATGAGTTCCGGTCAGTTTGTTCATTTTCCACCTAGTGAGCTTTTCTATGGGAGCAGGGGTTAGCAGGAAATAGGGAGAGTTGGAGGGATGGAATTCAGAGGCCAGTATGGAAGGCAATTTGTATGACAAATCAAGTTCAAATTCTGATTCTGCCACTTCCTGGCTGTCAAACCTTGGGAAGTTGTTCAACCTATCAAAACCTCAGTTTCTTCATCTATAAAAAGGCAATAACACATCACCTCCTAGGGTTGTTGAAAGGAGTAAGAGGATAATGTAGGTAAAGTCCTCATACCCGGCACAGAGTAAGGACTCAAAAAGGTTAAACACTATTACTGAAAACACTTCTGGAGAACTCTGAGGGTGTGGGAAGTGAGGTGCAGCATTGTAGATAAGACAGAAGGGTGGACTTCATGAGAACCTGGCTTGCTTTCCAATTCCAAACCAGGAGTGACTTGGAGGGGAGCAAGGGGAGATGCCAATGACATGGTAGGAGCAAAGAGGAAAAAGCTCAGCCTCTAGCTAGGATCCCCCAAAACCTGAAGAACACGGAGAGCTGCAGCCTTTAGGAGGTATCAAAGTGCCGGAAAGTCAAGGTGGGACATCGACCAATGTCTAGAGCCAACTGATGGATGTTGGGCAGCTAAAGAGGGAAGGGGCATGGGATACCTTCCTTCTTGCTTCTTGCCATTGGGCAGGCATTGGAGACCCTACTGCTGAATGGAGTGCTAACCCTGGTGCTAGAGGAGGATGGAACTGCAGTGGACAGTGAGGACTTCTTCCAGCTGCTGGAGGATGACACGTGCCTGATGGTGTTGGAGTCTGGTCAGAGCTGGAGCCCCGCAAGGGTAAGAGGCCTATACTGGGGCTGCTTCCACTGCCCGTCCTTTAGAGCTTTCCCGGGCTTCCTCTCTAGCTTAACCCTGATCCTGGGGACCAGGTGCAGGGGGAGTTGTAGAATTGTTAAGGATGTCACACAGTGGACAGAAAGCCTAAGCGAGGGAGAGTCTGACACGGTGCCGATGGAGATTAGTGGTGGGTGTCTGGTGTGAGGATATACTGCACTGACAAGGGTGTCCTACAGAGTGGAGTGCTGTCATATGGCCTGGGACGGGAGAGGCCCAAGCACAGCAAGGACATCGCCCGCATCACCTTTGACGTGTACAAGCAAAACCCTCGAGACCTCTTTGGCAGCCTGAATGTCAAAGCCACATTCTACGGGCTCTACTCTATGAGTTGTGACTTTCAAGGACTCGGCCCAAAGAAAGTACTCAGGTCAGAAATCAACATGTCATACTTCCCCATCCCCTACAGTTGGATAGTCCCCATAATTCCTCCTCCTGCACCCACCTACCCCTAGTTAGCTCTTGCTTGTGGAAAATCCTCATCTCCCGGCTTGATGGCTTCCTCCCAGGTTTCCCAAATCATCTGATTTCCTCTTGTCTCTGCCCTTCAGGGAGCTCCTTCGTTGGACCTCCACACTGCTGCAAGGCCTGGGCCATATGTTGCTGGGAATTTCCTCCACCCTTCGTCATGTAGTGGAGGGGGCTGAGCAGTGGCAGCAAAAGGGCCGCCTCCATTCCTACTAAGAAGGGGCTCTGAGCTTCTGCCCCCAGAATCATTCCAAGAGACACACTGCAAAGACTATGACAGCATCAAATTTCAGGACCTGCAGACAGTACAGGCTAGATAACTCACCCAATTTCCCCATTGTCCTCTGATCCGCTTGTCAGAGAACCTTTCAGCATAATGCCTCACATCCCAAGTCTGTACCTTTACCTGAAGAATGCTGTCCCTTCCTAGCCACCTTTCTGGCCTCCCACTTGCCCTGAAAGGCCACAAGCCTGTCCCCCAGGCATCTTGATCCCAGCCTGATTGCTGCTACATCTAACCCCTACCAATGCCTCCTGTCCCTAAACTCCCCAGCACACTGATGACAGCCCTCTGACTTTACCCTGAGATGTCTTCATATCCTTCACCACAAACTAACAAAAACATTTCCAATAAAAATATAAAATATTTACCACTACGACTTTTGACTCCAATTTAAACCAGGAAAGAGATGGGGTGGATACCCCCTTTTGCCCTCCCCCATCAACACGCAGTCCCAGATCCAAAGCCTCAGTCTTCAAGTATGGAGTTCAATGCCCGCCTCCGCTTGGCCACCGCACCCTGCTGCTGTTCCCAAGCCTCTCGTCGCTTTAAGAAGGTAGTCAAGGCCACATTTCGAGCCACATGGTGGCCGAAAGGGTCTCTTATCAGCTGCTGGTTCTGCTCCCCTGCAAAGGGAACCACTCATGTTTAGTACCACCATGCTCAAAGACAGACTCTACCTGAGGTAAAGGTCCCTCCATTTCCCCCAGACCCTGCCACTGGGGTACAGTGAACACTTCACTTTCCAAAGAACAGAAGTCAGAGGGAGGGGTGAGGGCAGAGGACTGCACAATTAGTCAGCGGGAGGGAAGGGGAAAGCAGACTGCTAAGAACCCATGAGCAAGACCACCCTTTGGAACTAAAGACTGTTGAATTTCAGTAGACTTCCCAGCCACCCAGTGATCTGGAGTAAGAGAAGGGAAGTCTGGAAACATCAAAGAGAGGGGCTGGTACTCACCCAGCTCAGCAGCAATTTCTTTCCGAGCCCCCAAGGCTGCTCCACTCCAGATGGCATCTAGCACACGGCTGCCATGGCGACTACAGGCCAGAGCCACATATTGTCCCTGTATTGAGACAAGCAAAGTAGGTCTCCCTAGCAAAGTCCACAAAAGTGTATTTTGGGGGCTTGCGGGGAGTGAATTTTCTGAAGAGTTTAGGGGCTGAATTAAAATAGTCTAGTAATTACATAGCCTTTTGGAGTCTGAAGGTACAGTCCTGAGAAAGCTCATATTCTCTAAATGGATGATGGTGGGGAATCAAGGCAGAAGCCAGAAATCTAACCTTTAGGTTCTGCAGCACACGGCGGCGCTGCTTGCGCGTCACAGAAGGGCTGGTCAGGATGGCATCGAGCACATGAGAGC